TCTTGTGGAAAATCCAAGGTACAAAGTGCCACCCGACCCGACCCGACCCGACCCATGAATGAAAGATCCAACGGGCTGGCGCATCGACGGCCGGTCCCCGTCGCGATCCGGACACCAACCAAGCAACCAACGAGCAGAGCAGACACTGATGAGTCATTAACGCCAGCATTAAGGACAAATTATGTTATGTACATATAATTAAGAGAGGGATCCTTGAGTCGCTCAAATGACATCTTCATAAGTATAATCAATCAATCCATTAACAGAGGGAGGGATCAATATATATATTCACTTGCTTCAAAAGTTCAAATCAAATAAACAGATAACAGTTGCAGGTGATTACCAAATCAACCAACTTGTCCTTTATTATTCCAAATCCCTTCCCTTCCCTTATTAGGATAATATAAATATGATGATGATGATGATGATGATGATGATGATGATGGTGATATGTAGTAAAAATACATACACTCCCAATTATTCATTCTCGTACCACTTTTGTGCATTGCATCAATTTAATGGGCCATCCATCCCTCCCACTGATAAGCGCGGCGCGGCCAAAATGAATGGATACCGGACCGCAACTCAAGTCAGTTCAACAAAACCAAACCATACTACCTACAGATGCTGCTAACTACTACTGTAGATAGATACTGCTATGTACAGACAGACACACACACACACACATATAGCAACAAGATAAAATCCTTCCTCCAACTAGAGACCATCAACCAACCAGCATATATGTATGTATATTCTCCTGCTATATATGCCTCCTAGAGACAGCTCACTCTGCTTCCCAATCATCTAGGGTTTCCAAGACATTATATATATATATATTGCTTCCTCTCACCAACAGGAAGCAGGCGGCAACTCAAAGCCTCGATGCACCTGCACCAGCACCAGCCAGGGCGTCACTTGAGAATGAATACTCCCTCCTTGTACCACTCAAAGGTCTCCGCTGTAGTCATCCTCTCTTGTCTCGCCTGTTTCTTCTTGGCAGTAGAGTCTATTCAGCTCTTCTTGCAGCTGCAAGTTATAATACACAAGACCACCCATCACACACGCATCATCATCATCATTTTATTATGGTGTTCATTTTCGCATCCTTTTTGTCATTTTTACTATGATGATTTAAGTGATGTTGTATATATATATATATATATATATATATATATATATATATATATATATATGTGGGTGGAATTACAAGTCCATTTACTCGGCTGTTACAGAAATTGCTCGATACTGACCTCAACATGCTTCAGCTTTGATGCAATCAGCTCGTCGGTTAAAGAAATCATCCTGCAAGGGACAAATGTAAATTACAACTTGGATCCTCAAACATTTTGAACATGGAACTTTGTGATTATCCCTTCCAAATATCAACTGCCAAGAAATCGACCTACCTTGACTGTAATTCGAATACTTTAGCAAGTAGTTTCCGTTCTCTCTCAGCACTGCCCGTTTCAACCTGCCAAAAGCATGTGCACAAGCTTACGAGTCAAAAGAATTCTCCATAGCATCAATACTACTATAATGAACATAAACAAACTCATCTTGTAATATATATATATATATATATAGGACAATTTTTTCCTACTACCGGGTGTAGTTACTCCCACTTTTGTTTCATACGTTCTAGGTAGTATCTATCATATGAGAGAGTATGTACGCATAGTATGTAGTATGTAAGAATGTTTAGGTAGTATATATACTATTTTTGAGGTAGTATGTAGTATATTTTGAGCATACTCCTTTGTACGTACAAATATATACGTATTTCATAAATATTATAAAAACATGGGCTCACATGCAATTTTTTCACATAACTCGCTCTAGAGTATCTTAGATATAGTATGTGAACATATTATAAAAATAATAAAGTAGAGTATATACTACCACATGGTAGTATATGAGAAATGGGTGTAACTACACCCGGTAGTAGGATGCATTTTCCCTATATATATATATATATATATATATATATATATGTATATATATATGTTAAGCTCAAGAGAAGCTTACCCCTGTATCACCCACCATAGTCTGAACTCTAGTCTGCGGCCCTGGAGAAAATAAAATATTTTAATCATAGAAAGGGGAAATTGAAACTTTGAGCAGCTACGATAGAAGTTAATTACCATTGGGTTTCTCATTCTGTTGCAAGTTACTCATTAGGTTCGTGATGATATCCTGTGAAAAGGAAATGGAAAATGGTCAACTGTACAGCAGTAAATATATTTACAATGCACATGTGTTGAGGGGCATTATATAGAGCTTCTTCCATACTTGCTGGAATGTGGTCTGCTGTACAAGGTTTTCAAGATGGGGAATCAGAATTGATGCAGATACTGAGCTGTCACGGAATTCCCTTCGATGATGACTATTAGACTGCAAAACCGATGCATTCAGACATAAATCAATTCACTGAAATGATATGCACCACAAATCTACGAAACATCTTTGATATATAATAGTAGTAATAACATACATAGTCCAACATGTCAAAACTGCCAATTTCAACGTGCATGCTTTAGAATTCAGTTCTAGCATGCAACTTATCCAAGATTATAGTAAAGGTTAGCTTGATATCATGCCATGCGGTTGATGTTTCTAAAAGAAAATATAACAAATCTTATCCAGAAATAATTTAACAGCACTATGGAAATTCTTAAACGAGGGGTACAAAGGTACACAGTAAAGAACATCAGAAAGAGAACACGCTCCTTCATCTCTTTCATAAAAATAACTGCACAAAACTTAAAATATTTCAGTTGCTCTAATCTTGTTTTGTTTAGTTTGAGAGCTTGGGGAAAAATCACCCCACAGAAAAAAAAAACAATTTAGTGCAACAATACATTATCTTAATCAGTTGAAAGTTTTTTTCTTTCCACAAATGATAATTCAGGCAACATGAAAGCATACCATTGACTTAGCCTTCACTGGCCAAGCACCAACACTGGCTGATCTTTTCATTGTAGAGACCTGAGTTCTTACCTCCTGTGGTTTAGGTGAAATTTTGACCACTGGAATTTCCTGAACCTGTCAGTAGACTTTATTAAGTTCTCACTGAAGTCTTGTTTTGCTCATAAGCACTACCTATTGAAGGTGTATGCGTTGCTCAACAGGTAACGTACCTTCGCCAGATCCACATTTTCGGATGTTACGGAAAATCGGCCTTTTATTTCCACCCTAGGCTTGTCTCCCAAGGAGCCCACATATCCTGCGAAATCAAGACAGAAAATTACATGCCCTTTTAATGTGCGACTCCCAAGTCTTTTTATATACATTTACAGAAGTGGTGAACACTTGTGTAAGAATGATAAATGTTGTACCCCTATCTCAAAAAGACTGGATACAAGCAGGCTATGTATTTGCTGAAGCATGCTGTGTGCTGTGCTGATGTGCTAAGTTAATGTTAAACATGACTGGAGGTCTATAGTCTACACTGACAGAAGTGGTGCACAGTTGCGTTAGAACAGTGGATGCTTTTATCCTACCTCCAGAAGACCGAATAGGGGCAGACAGACTATTTGCAGAAGCACGAGTTGAAAGTGAAAGCGGACCACTAAGATCATCGATTCTTCCCGTGTCACTCTTTTGTTTATTAGGTGATCGAGCTCCTGCATCCCTGTGAAGAGGAACAAAAATCAAATGCAACTTAAACTGGTATGCTAATGCAAACTTCTAACAGAGTAGAACACTGGATTCAAGGAAGAGCTCTTTTAGAGTAATCATTAGCTATTATAGACCATCCATCCTAATAGAATAATATCAGAATAATTAGGATTGCGTTTACTCCACTGTCAAGTATTGGACATATCATTATAATAATAAAACTATTTTTATAATTACTTTAGGGCTACAAAAAAATATCAAGGATGTCAACGGCATGGAAGTTTAAACAAAGAAGTCCATAATGACCTTTATATACAGTTAGATTTCACTCGTACTCTATCCACAATCCACATACAAAGGAGAACTGTGTTCTGTGTCTGAATACTCAGATATGAAAACTTTCATCTATCTATTAAAATGCTTCTTCGAAACAAATTTGGTCATGACTTATAAACAGAACCTCTAAAAACTTGAAAGCTGATCTGGAAGAACTGAACAGCAGTCCTATAGTAAGAACGTAAACAGATTAAAGTGGACTTCATTTTCTTTCTTATGTTTTTTATATGTAACAGATCAAACAGAGTTAGAAGAAATTGTCGAACATACTTATCAATAATATAACCTCTTTCAATCAGTGAACTACTGCGGGTACCGGAATACATAACCGGACCAGAGAATGTCCTTTGTCTTTGTCTAACTTCACTCCTGTGATTTCCACCCTCAGAACCTTGCTTCGATGTAGAGGACAATGAACCATTTTCTGATCCTTGCTTTGTGTGTCCATCAACCATCCTTGGACTATCAGCATTGCCAAGGTCAGAAGTGAATACATCACTTGTTTCAGGGCCATTTCCACCTGGATTTACTGCAGTGGTACAAGTTCGTTCACTGAAATATAACAAAATAGTATGAATACACTACTAGCAGGAAAACAATATGCATCAAGGCTCGCTAATCCTCCTCTTGTTATAAGATCAAAAATGATCCTATAGAGTTGGGTCGATGCTGAAACGTTACATACTGATTCAACCTGTGGTTATTTCCATTCAGAAGCGTTGATTGTCCAAAATGACTCTCAAAAGATGTGCCCTGCCAATAGAGCATTAACAAGAGAAACATTGGTATGATCCTCTCTTGCATATAGAAAAATATTTAGATATAACGCAACAGGGAATGCAGATGATTTTTATAATGATAGAAGTTAGTGAGAAACTGCAGGACAGTAACCAGTGGAGTTACAGATCCTTGTCCTGTACAATAATATTTCTAGCATCACAAGGGATAAATATATAATCTTCAGATTCAGGCAGAAGCATTTGTGGCAATAACTTCTATCACTAGCTCATCATACCCTTACTCTTCAAATTAGATAAATGGTACTCCCTCCATTCCCTTATACAAGGCCACAAACTCATATTACAGGTACCAAGATAAAATTTAATGACTCCTTTGCAAGTCAACTTTTCTTTTAGTTAACCGGGATCATTAATACACCACAAGCATGCAACGAATGAATGGGAAGGAAGTGGTGGAGTGTCATTATGACCACATGCATGTAAGTATTAAAAAGTTGCTAGTACGAGGAAACATCATTAAATTTTGCCTCGATTACTGTTGGTGGCCTTGTATTGATGCAAAATGTATTTTTGATAGTGGCCTTGTATAAGGGAATGGAGGGAGTATAGTTTTTTCCTATGATAGACATATACTCCCTCTGTCCCAAAATAAGTGTCTTATTTTGGGACGGAGGGGATATGATATTACTTCTCTTGGATACACTCCAGAAAACTTTGTCATCAAGTACATTTGCAGGCTCTTTCTATCATCGCTCTAGCACAGGTTTAACGTTATTAATTTGTAAAAGGAATCAAATCAAACAAACCTTATCAACTTCAGTTATTCGGGCGATGTCATCATCTTCCTTCAATTCAGGTGGATCGTCATCATTAATCTGCATAAATTTGGGGGCTTATTTGTAAGGTCGTATCAGAGTCACTTATGCCTCAAAAAAGTGAGCCATGTAGACATGTGGCAATTTTTTAGAAATTGTGGAAGCTATTGCTTTACCAGTAATGCTTGAGCCTTCAGATCCTCAATATCAAAGTGCCATGCACTGACACCTCGTTGATACTCACTCTGTTGGACAAACCATCAAACCACAAAAAAGTCACCTAAGTGGATTGAAGGACGGAATTGCGTACATGCATTTCTAGAACAGATAAATAATACAAGCTGCAGTGTTTTCATGAATTATTTGACACTACCATGCTGCACCTCAATTTGCAGGAAAAGCTCTACAGCAAACAGAAGCACCTCAATTTGCTAGTAGTTATGATATCTCTGTGCGAACTAACTAAAATGTTTTTTTATTAATTGTTTGCATGTAAAAAGAAACAGCCCATAGCCAGGTGAGCATCTGTCAGTGAGTTCTAGCTTAACTTAGTTAATTATAAAAAAAAACAATGTCTTGGCTCAAACATGTTTTAGTTATATCTTCATCATCACAACAATGGTCTTGTTATACCCAATTACCCATATGAGATCAACTTCTAAAATTGGTTGCCTAGTGAGTCTTACTTTGTTCTGTGATTGCAAATCATCAAGATTGCTAGTTCACTTTGCATATGGAGTAAATAAAATAAGCAGGCTTTCATGGCCTGGAAAGAATTGCACCAAAAGCAAAGAATAACATAAGAGAGTGTTAATATCACAAACCATGGAAAGTGCTTCCTGTTCGGATGAAGCCAGGTGTGCTGCATCTTTTTGCTGAAAAAGCACAGTAATTTACTGAGATATTGTTTCCAGTGTCAAGTAAAAGAAGAAGATAGCACAAGAGCAAAACCTGGAGTGCCTTCACACGATCCCACAGAGGGGGCAAATCGGTTAAGATGCTCTTAACTGTCAGCTGTGGGGCCTTTGTGTTCTTGAAAAACGAATGCTTTAGTAACTTCTCAGCTGTTGGCCTCTTAGTTTGATCTTTTACCAAGCACATTGCAACCATTTCCTTGAAAGACTGATTACAGCTGAAAAGCCTTCATTAGAAAGGTAAACACTGTAATCTAATATATCCACTCTGTAATAATAACTGAAGCGGCTTCCAAAGACAAGTAGGTGTTGCTGTTAAAACATAACCAAAAGACACAAGCCAAGAACTGGACCAGTACTACCTTTGAGAATTTTCTATCACGGTCATAGTCAAGACCTGGTGGTGCATTTTGAAGGGTCATGAGAAGAACCTGCATCCAACAAGGTAAACTGCAGTTAAACAGAAAGTTCACATGCACAGGTTGCCACATTCGACAATGCCCTTGTACACTTCAATTGCTAATTTAATGGACAAGACCGTCGAGCTTATTGTTAAATTTTACAAGACTGTTGAACATCAGTAAGTATAAGCAAGTTCGTGAAAAGTAGGCATACACACATAGCATAACGGAATTTTACCCAAGTGGGGAGTTTTTTTTTTTTTTTGCTAGGCTAAAAAAGATGTGTCGTAAGTGCAGAATACAGGGATTATTTTGGCATAACAGTATCATGGCATAGCAAGATGATGAGAACCTCATGTCTGCAAACTGCTAACAGGACACCATGGTGAAAATTTTAGTATAAGAACAACTACAGAAGAAAAGGCAATTTTGAAGCTGATCAAACACTTGCTTAATAGTACTTGCTCTTTTCCAAGACAGAAAAACTGGAAAAGGACAGAAGTATTTTACTTTGCAAAAGAATAAAATAACTCATTACCTTCATGGGAGGGTACTTAGAGAAGGGAGCGTGGCCATGTGCAAGCTCCAGTGCAGTTATTCCAAATGACCAAATATCAGCTCTGGACAGGGGGGGAATAGTCGTGAGCACACCTCACAAATGTAAAAAAGATTGCTAGCCTGATTTCTTCAAACTAGGGATAGTGGTTCGGCATTTAATCTAATCATAAAATTCTGAGACGATACTTAAGTGACCCCAGACAAAATACAACGGCATGGAAGAAAATATATATAAATGAAAATAAAGAGTATAGAAATTATAAAGTGGATTGATGAAAAAGATAACTGTCAGAAAGATTGATAGCCTTATTTCTTCAAATTAGAGATAGTGACTGAGCATTTAATATAAACATAAAATTCGAGAGACTACTTTAGTGACCACAGGCGTACTAATAATGTATGATTCCAATGCACATAGCTTGTTTATAGTTAAAAAAATGACCAGAGAAACTTGAAATACTGCATCTATAGGTATTCTAGAGTAGCAAAGATAACATGAGCATGATATTCAAAACATACTTGAAATTATAACCGGTTCCAGGCTGGAGAACTTCTGGAGCCATCCTAAACACCAAACAAAAGAAGAATCATATCAAGCATTTTCATAGATTGTTCAGACTTATTGAGCCTTCAAATGAAGAAATTCGGAAAAAACACAGGTACCAGCACGGTGTTCCCACAAATGTATTCCTGGATCTTTGCCTATCGCCTCTGTCAAACAAGCAAGCAGATACGCCAAAGTCCCCAAGCTTCACTACACCAGGGCTATCAACAAGGATATTGCCCGCCTGCACAAAGATACATACGTTGAGCAAAAGCACTGATAACACGAGCGTAAACACAAACCCTGTAGATTGGAAAAGGGCAACCTTAACATCTCGGTGGATATGTCCTTGGCCATGGAGGTAAGCGAGAGCCTTGAGTGTTTCTTTAAGAATAGAGCAGATGACAGGCTCCTCCAGGCCGTCAGGATGTGCGACCTTCATTAGGTGTAAACATGAACCCTCTGCCATGAAGGGCATTATGACCCAAAGGTTGTGGTCGACAACAAATGAGCAATAAGCCTTGATGACGTTAGGATGGTCTATCAATTTCATGATCTGAGCCTCCTTGCGAACATCATCCTGGAAGGGACATATAGATATCAGGTACCATTTTTGAGGTCAGGTGTGAAATACACTGCTAGTCATTTTGAGGAGGAAGGGGACACCAGGAGGGAAGAGCACCAAACATTGGACTAAAAAAGGAGTAAAATATACAAATCCATTCATTATGAACACTTATTTTAATTTTCATCATGGGTAAAGTATTACAGTTTGGCACTTGAGAAACGAGCAAGCGGTATTCCAGGTGATGGGGCCAACTACAGAAAATACGTGCATCCATGATCCCTTGAAACGATCCCTTGAAACAATTCCTCGAAACGATATAGAAAAGTACTGCATCAAAACAAGATATATCATCATGGGATATATCCTACATTGAATTCGATGCATCCACATGCCATCCTAGAGAGCACAAAGCACAACGCATCAAGAAGAGTTGCAAGCGGTCTTTGTGAAACTAATAATAATAGAATAGCAACCAAAGAGTGCTCCTGATAAAACAGATAAGAGTCCTAGGTTATGTATGTAGGGAGCAGAGCAGAGCAGCGGCGAGGGTAATGCAAATCACTGATGAAAACAGCTGATCAAGCTGAAAATGGGTAACAGAAATTGCAGGATTGTTTAGTATATCAACCTGTCAGCCATTGATAACTCCAGTAGTAAGAAGAAACCTAAAGCCTGATGGTACTAAAGCTAGTAGGATTATTTTGAGTGCAAAATAAATAAAATATAAAAAGCTGTAAATGGATGGATGGATGGTCCCAGCTTGGTGACACATACAGAGCATCTCGAGTGCATCCATCCACAATAAATAAATAAATAAATAATACGCCTCCAAACAAATTTCGCACATACTAGAGTAGAATCTAGCTGATCAAGCAATCACCGGCGAATCCTATGTATTCGTATAGAGAGGGGGAGGGGGAATTGGAAAATCGGAGAGAGACAGAGGCGCCCCGCGATACAGAGAGAGGGGGCTAGCTCCTGACGCACGAGGTTACTGTTGATTCGATCGAGATCGAGGCACTTGACGGCGATGGTGCGGTTGGCGGGGAGGAAGATTGCGCGGTAGACGACGGCGTTGGCGCCGAAGCCCACCTCCTCCATGAGCCTGTAGTCGTCCGCCGACAGGGTGAACTCCGGCGCCGCGGGCTCGGCCGCCGCCGCCGAGACCGCCGCCAGAGACGGCCGGCGCATGCTCCCGCCCCTCACCATCGCCGCCCCTCCGCGATCGCCGCCGGCCTGGCCTGACTGGACTGAG